GAGAGAGAGAGAGAAACTAATTCTTATGACAAAGCATAAAATTATGCTGGTCAAAACTAGATACATAAAAATCATTTGAGTCATATAGAATTATATCTAGTATGTAAACCACTAGTTTTCAACATCTGCTGGACTGTAGAGAGGAAAGGCTGCTATAAGTAAAGCTTTTGTGTTTTGTTTTATAACCATTTAAGGGTACAGAACAGAGATGCAGCATAAAGAAAGTAGCATGTTTTAATCAGGCTACAAAATTCAGATTATTTGCATGTGAACAAATAAATGAGGTAATTGATTGGAATTATTGTCTATTAAAGTTTTTAAAATGACTTTTAAATGAAATTCGTCTTAAAATTCTATTACCTGTTATTTAAACTGGTTGCAAAAAAATATTTACAACAAAATTTGAAAATATATGCTGACTCTAAATCCCTTTCAAATGTCTTATTTGCCTTTAAGAGGAAAAATTATAACTATATGACTCTTCTCTATTCTAATAGGGAGAGGATTCTGGGTACATACTTTCCAGATGGGCCCTAATGATTACTTGATGAATGACCCTTTATTTGCCATTGGCAACTACCAGTTGCCACCAGCATGTCTTGGTCAGGTTCATTTATGTGCCTGTTCTGTTTTGGTCCATGAACCTGGCTGACATTGAAACTAGGTGAGGTTTGAATGTTTGAAACAGATGCTTTTGCGCCTGCTAATTTATGAATTTGATAGAGTTCATAAATCACATGCAAAAAATACTATGTTAGACCATTATTGGTTTAGGTTTTTCTCCAACCTAATGTGAAAAAACTGCAATTGATGTTGAGAATACAGCTTCTAAGCCTCTACATTGCAATCCAGAAGATTAGATAATTAACAAAAAAAGCCACTGTATTTTCTCTCCCCTATTAGGAACTCCTGACAGGTGGAGAAGCTTAGTAACAGAAAAGCATGGGGCAGAATGGAGAATTTCAAATGGGGGGGGGTTACAGTATCATGCTTCTGTCTGAATGAAATGCAGCATTCCAGATGTTGTCTACATTTCACTTAAAACCAACTGCTAGGGTTTATGAACAATAAAAATTTCTGAAATGTAACAGGGCAACTCTGCCTCCCAATGCTGAGAAAACTCTTCGAAGACTATCAAATTTTGAAAATGTGCTAATGAGCCACAAAGGCTGATTAAAATCAAAGGTGCAATATTCCAAAAATAGTCTTTGCAGTTAAGAGAAGTATGGCTTAGGTTTCATCATTGCTGACAGTACTGACACATTTTGCAAAGATAAGGAGGTCTCAGTAGTAAAAACAATTCACAATAGCTCCATATTAAGTTATTTTCAGGAAGCAGGGTTAAGACCTGAAAATTGCATTAAAAAGAATCGAGGAAAAAAAAAAAAACAGTCCACACATATAGGCCATTCACTTGCTAAAAAGAGAACTATTAAGGATTCAAAACACAAAACATGACATTTTCAATTTCTTAATTTGATGCTTATTTACAAATAGTAAGTTCAAGTTTTGAGCAGATGTGAACAGAGATGAACATTTTCCTTTACTTAATTGTGGAAAATAGAATAGTTAGAAGCATTTTTCATGGACAATACATTTATGGATGAGAAAAATATTCACATATTTCACCTTTGGTTAAGATCAAGCTGATCTAATTAGCACTTTCATCTAATTTATTGCTCAGAATTCCCTTTTGTTAGTTGTGTTTTTGGTAAATTTCAAGGAAAGCTGTTTGGAGAAAAGTAATTGGGCATATAAAATAAAATAAGAAGCTTTCTTTAAGAAAAAAATTATCTGAAAACAAAAATGACAAAATTGGAAAGTCATAAACTACATCACTATATTAATAATAAAATGTGACTTTTACAGAATAACCCAGGATTATTCAATATTACTATATTTTTGGATCAGGAAGTAATTTAAGCAGGCAACTTTAAGTTACATACAATTAATTAGATAACAAAGGACTTTTTTCTAATTGAATGATAATGTGACCATATTGTTTACTCATTTTGTAAGGTCATCATAAAACATAGAAGTATTGACAGACATGTTATTAAATGTATAAGTATCTTTGTTTCATTTTTATTTTCTGATTTCAGATTATAAGAATTGATTTTGAAGACAGTGTTCTCAAAACACACTTCACATTCTGGACAGCTTAGAATTTTGCTTCCACTTCTTTGCATGTGGCAGATACTCAGCCCTATGGAAAATAAAACTGGAAACATTGTTTTCAACCTCATACAGACATTGTAACTATAAGAGTATGTTCACAAGTTTACACACCAAGACAGAGGAATCATGTCACCTAATATCAAACTATACTACAAGGCCATAGTAATCAAAAGAACAAGGTACTGGCATAAAAATAGACATAAATATTAATGGAACAGAATAGAGTCCAGAAATAAACCCACACCTTTATAGTCGATTAATATTTGACAGAGGAAGCAAAAACATACAATGAGATAAAGATATCTATTCAATAAATGGTGTTGGGAAAATTGGACAGATGTGTGGAAAAAATATGAAACTAGACCACCTTCTTACACGATGCACAAGAATAAACTCGAAATGGATTAAAAACTTAGATTTAAGTCTCAAAAGCATAAAAACTCTAGAAGAAAACATGGACAGTAAAATCTCAGACATCTGTCATAGCATTTTTTTTCTCTTGCCACTTTAGTCAAGGGAAACAAAAGAAATAATAAACAAATGGGACTATATTAAATTAAAAAGCTTTTGCACAACAAAGTAAATCATCAACAAAATGAAAAAGCAACCCACTAAATGGGAGAACATGTTTGCCAATAACACATCTGATAAGGGTTACTATCAAAAATTTATAAAGAATTTATATATAACAACAGCAAAAAAAAAAAAAAGAACAACCCAATTAAGAAATGGGTAAAGGACCTGAGTAGACACTTATTGAAAGAGAACATACAGATGGCCAAAAGAGAAATGAAAAGATGCTCAACATCACTAATCATCAGAGAAATGCAAATTAAAACCACAGTGAGATATCACCTCATGCCTGTCAGAATGGCCATCATCAATAAATCAACAAACAAGTACTGGCAAGGCTGTGGAGAAAAGGGAACATGCACTGTTTGTGAGAATGCAGATTGATGCACCACTGTGGAAAGCAGTATGTAGTTACCTAAAAAAATTATAAGTGGAACTGCCTTATGATCCAGTGATTTCACTTTTGGGAATATATCCAAAGAAACCTGAAACACTAATTCAAAAGAATACATGAACCCCTGTGTTCATTGCAGCCTTATTTACAATAGCCAAGATTTGGAAGCAGCCCATGTCCATCAGAAGATGAGTAGATTAAAAAGCTGTTGTACATTTACACAATGGAATACTACTTAGGTGCAATAAAAAGGAAATCTTACCCTTTGAGATAGCACAGATAAACCTAGAGAATGTTATGCTGAGTGAAATAAACCAGTCTGAGAAAGACAAATACCATATGATTTCACTCCTATATGGAACCTTGTTAATAAAATGAACAAGCAACACAGAGACAGACTCACAGGATGCAGGCTGACAGCTGTGGGTGGGGAGATGGCTGAGAGGGGTAAAGAGGTGGAGAGATTGAGCAAAAGAGAAAAAAATGAGAAAAAAACTCATGGATATGAATAACAGTGTGGTGATTGCCAGGGGGATAAATGGTGATGGGTGGGGACTTGACTTAAGTGTGGGGAACACACAATACCATGTGTTGTGGAGTTGTGCACCTGAAGCATATACAATTTTGTTAACTAGTGTTACCTCAATAAGTTCAATGAAAATTTTAAAAAGTGAAATAAAAGATAATGAGAAAATTGTGTGCCTACATTCATCAGTAATTTTTGTGAGGAAAAGACCAACAATGACCAATTCTCTACAAGCTTTGCAACGCTTACCTTAGGTATACCTCTTCAGAACTAGTCCCTAGTGAAAATTATTCAACTGTGGATATGTTTCTCCTAGTTAATTAATTTCAAGGTGCATCTTCCTCCCCAGTACCCACCCTTGCAAAATTACCCGCCCTCATCCCTTCTGCCCCTTTTACTACACAAAGTACGTATTATCCATATTTAATATTTCCTGTGCATATCATAAAGAATAATTCTCAAGGTAGGATCAATGATTAAAGTATGGAATCTTAAACATTTTAGGAATCATGGGTGCACTGCCACCCTAGAGTTAAGAGTTAATTAATAAAAGTCAACATGGAGATTTTACAAATCAGAAGGAATTTTCACAGGAAAAAGTTCTGCTATGATGACTTGCAAAAATAGTTGATTGCCCTCACTCAAATTATAGTCATTGTTTCTGAATCCATATGCATTGAAATGTTTCTGTAAGTTTCTTGGAGAAATATTAATATAAATATTAAATATAATAATGATATTTTACTGAAAGATTCAAGAACTAAGCATTGACTAGCTGAGTTTAGAAATTGAATGCTGCAACTCAGACAAAATCCTGATTCCATATTTTTTTAAGTAATCAAAGAAAATTATGTGAAATAATGAATTGTTGGTTTGCAAACACTGCAAAAGAAGACAGAGAATATTTCTCTGGAAACATAGGACAAGTTTTCTCTGTTTGAGTAATGTAAACAAATACCTGGAGGTACCAATGAGACAGCTAAAAGAGGTTTTGAAAGCTATTACAAACGTATCACATCTGGCCTAATTATATCTCCTAACAGCTCTGGCATTAATAAACATGGCTAAGTGGCTACGGTCTGTAGGTAATTTACATAATGCATAGAGTTTTTAGAAGATTTCTTTTCCCCAGCAAATATATTTACTTCTCAGAGACAATTTTCAAATCATAGAACCACAGGATGCAAGCACCTATCAGATAGTAGAGCAAATCTATTTCAAAACAACCAATACTGGCTGAAAACTTATTTCCATATATATGAATAATTGGTAGCTATGTAGATTCAAATATCAGGAACGGTGCAAGCTGTTGCTGGGGACTGAACTTACCAGTACTTGTAAGAAAGTTAACGTTTTTCATCACCCCTTCAGTGTAAGCGCCTGGCTCGTAACTGTCCATTTCACCTGTGACAATGTGAGCAACTCTTGCTGCCCGTCCTCTGATAGCACCAGCAGCTCGGTCTAAATTATCAGCATCCTGGTCTCTCAGGGCTATGATACATTTGTTGACATCTTCTAGGATGTGGCTCTCTGTAAGTAAACATATCAAATTAATTTTGTTAAGTTTTTTATTTAATCACACAAATTTAGCATATTATAATTAATGTGCACTTCTGACCAGATGTGATGTATGTTGGGAATGAAGGGCCCTGACAGCTGGGGAGGAAAAATATGGATATAATTTTGCTTATGATCTTATTAACAGCAAACTTTATGAGATATATACTCTTATATTTTTACCAGCAATTTTTACAGATTATATAATATTTTAGATTCTAATCCCAGTATATAAATTTTTAGATCTGAGTGATGTGTAGGTGGATATTGAGGAGTTTCTATATTAAAACAAAAATAAAAGGTATAATAGAATGCTTAATTCTGATTAAAGGAAACACTGTACAGATTATCACACTCTTTATGTCACCTGTATTACACATAGTAAAATAAAACTATGGAGTTTCAGTCAACTAATATTCATTGACATACAATGAGATTTAACACAATTACAAATCTCATAAATTAATAAATAATAAAAATGTGAAGTATATAATTTTTATATTGTAAAGTAGCAGCCTCACTAAATCTGTGAAAATATTTACATAAAATTACATAAAATTGTGCTTTAAAAAGATTGACTTGGCACAAATGAATCTCTAAGAAAGTTTCCCACTCCAAATAGTCTCTTGACCTCTCTCACTGCGTCTCTTTTCATGATTAGAGCATGAAGACAGCAGAGGTCTTAGTATTGCACTGTTTTTTTTTTCTATGAAATGATTATTAATCCCAAACAAAACAAATGAGAGGAGCTGAGAAAACACATGCAATATCATCAAGAATGGGCAATAATATTTTTAAGAAATCTAAAGAATATTACAAGAATTAGTGTTTGGCTTCTAGCATTATCAAATGAACCCCCACTCAAAATCTTTAACAACTCTATAATTTAAAAACATACTAGAAAACAACTAAAACAAAAAAAGCCTTACTAATTTCAGGACATATTTTTAACTTTCCTCCTGACCCTTTTCTCTGTATGTGTTGACTACCTGTAGGTAAGCTACACAGTATAGGCATTCATAAAGTGATTTATTTGTAGAGTAACACCTTCCTCTTAATGTGTAGAACATACAATCCAAACTACCAAAGAATATGGTCCCTAGTGACTTTCTTTGACCTGCTGTATATCATTCTTCCGTATGTCTATTATGCTTTAGTTACATTTATTTTATGCTTTCCCAAATTCACAATTATTTTCCATGTCTCTGTTCCTGTGGCATATTAGAAGCTTGACTTAGGCTGTTCTATTGTTTTCCTGGACCCAATGTCAATGTACGTGTGTGTGTGTGTGTGTGTGTGTGTGTGTGTGTGTGTGTGTGTGTGTGTGTAGGCTTCCCCACACAAGTAATTCTCTGGACACCAACAGGGTGTCCTACAATTCAACTCAACTCTGACACTCTTTACTAAGAGAGAGAGCATCAGATTCCAGGAGCTAAGTGGTCTGTCCTCCACGATTTCCTTCCACACCCCTCCACTTCAGACACCAGTCCCAAACCCAGGTTGTTACCTATACTTTTGACTGCCTAGTTATAAATCAGAGGTTCCCATCACTCCCTCCTTGGGTTTGATCAATTTATTAGAGCAGCTCACAAAACTCAGAGAAACATTTTACTCACAAAATTGAACCTCTATAACTCAGGAAGAACTAGATGGAAAATGCATAGGGCAAGGTATAAAAATAGGGTACAGAGATCCCATGCCCTTTCCAGGCACACTACTAGAGGCCAAAGTTATAGGATGAGTTTTTCTACGTGGGGAGTGAAGGTGCTAGACAGCCCTTGTACAGCCAGACATGAGGGTGGGAACCTCTGGTAAGGCAAATTAAGGCCAGAGGTCATCAAAGTTGCATATCTGGAGTTAAACAAACCCAACTAGCAGTGCCTGATCACCACTGACTTTCAGTAAAGCTCTATACCTAGACATATTGCATTGTTCTCTTTGGGAAGGTCTCTGCCCACCCCCTACCAGGGGAAGGATGAGGAATGGGCAGTGAGAAAAACCCCAAGGCCTGCATGGGCAGAAACAGACCTTGGGATGATAATGGCTGGCAAAAAGGGGTCACACACCATCCAGGTTTTGGTCTGTGACCCAGGCTAGGAAGCACTGAGGATACTAATGCCTCTCTAGTTATCCAATCTCTCTCTCTTTCATAAAGAAGAAAGTTTTTTCTCCCCAAAAATAATAGGCAATGCAGCTCTATTCACAGTACCTCAAGTGACCACTTTAGGGTGCATACTCACCAATTGGCAGAAATTTGACTCTGGGTCCCTCAAGGAGAAGGGTTTATAGGTAATTGGCTTTATAAAACCAGAGTCTGTACCTTTGAAATGTAAATTTCTGGAAAGTAAATCTTATCAAGAGAGAAAAACCTTAGCCATCTGAGCAAATCAATTTAACTTAGTTCAGCTGTTCCTTTTCTAACCATGTGAGTTTTGCTTTATAATGTCTGTCTCATGAAAGTATGTCTCTTAAGTGGTATGTTTGCTAATCAAAATGCCTATATTTCTAGAAGTTATGAAATGAATTTGCCAATCTAAAGGATGCTAATTGCTTACTTTGCTAATCAAAAAGCCTATGTTTCTAGAAGTTATGAAATGAGTTTGCCAATCCAGAGATGCTAATTGCTTACTTTTAAGCTGTCTGATATAAAGTTGGAGTTTTGTCCTTTTCAATCTGTTAAAAGGACAAGGATTTTTCTTTTGTTTTATATTTTTTCCCTATTTAATCCCTCCAGAATTTGGCAATGCTTAATGAGTGAGTCATAGAAATATGTTTGTTTGCATACATCAACGTTTCCAATAGGGGTTTTATTAGCCAAGTCTTTAACTGAAATTTCATGTATTTGAGAGACATGCATGGACTCTGAATGTCACCAGAAAACCTTAAGGATTTAAAATTGACTCTCCCAGCTAATAGAAGCCTATTGGAGAATTGGTCTGGTAGCTTGCTTAGCTATATGTTTCATTGCAATCTTCCAATATAAGGAAAAAAGGTTGCTTTTGTGAAAAATGGCAATGAAAGAAGCTCAAGACATTTTTGAGAACCTCAACAACTTGGGGAATTTACCTAACCTGTAAGTATTGCAGGCAAAGTCTTATGGTAAGTGTCGTTTGGCTTCTTCATCCTGAGGGGTTTAAGATTCTAGCAAAGCAGAATTTTAAAAGAACCTGTATAATCAATTGACTTTCTTATGTTTATGAAAATAATAAGGCCAAATTGATACTGGACTTAATACAGTCTCTTTAGTACAAACGATGGTGACTTTAGGGAGAGAAATTGTGTTTCAATAGAAATCACAAAGCCCAAATGTGGATATTGGACTCTAGTGTAGTTAATTATCTCCAAACTTTTGTTTTTCACCTATTAACTAAACAGGTCTCTGAATTCCTCTAGTTTTCTTCAGTCCTCCAAGCTAATGTTTCATTGTTTTCTTCCCATCTTTGAACTAGGAATTATTGAGAACTAAATTTTTTCTAAGGCTATGTCTGTATATGCCATACAAAACTAACCTCAATGCTTGATTACATCACCAAAGATGTTCAAACTACAGACAGAAAGGATTTATCAAGATGATCACCACTTTGCTTTCATTCCAGCAAAGGCCTTGCAACTGAATGTCTTCTCCACTGACAGCCTTGCAGGCTCAGAAACTGGTTTATGATTTCCTATATTCATTAACCTTTGTGTATTCTTCCTTATATTTTGACCTTATTTACCTGATTGCTTATTTACATAGTAAAGGCTTTACATTAGAAGCCCATCTACAACACTGAGTCAAAAAATGAGACCCAGTGGTTTCGCTGGGTTGACTTGTCAGGACTAGATGGCTGAGTTAGTGAAGTATGAAGCAGGCTATCAGCTTCACTTAAAACTTCTTTCCCTTTTCTGCCCAAATGATTCATATAGAAAAGGCCCAGAGTTCTTCAGAGGGAAATTTTAGAATGTTTCATTTAGCTTAATTTAGACTAAGGATGGTAAATAAGAGGGCTCCAAACATGCAGGTATGACATACATTTGTCCAGGGAATTCACTCCTCCAACCTAATCTGGGACACTGTAAAGTTAGTCCCTCCTTCTATTACCTGGTTTTTACCTCTCATTAGACCTTTAATTGCTATAATTCTCCTCATTTTTAGACTATGCCTTTTAAACCTTCTTTTTAACCAATTTATCACCTCTAGACTACAACAAGAATGACAGCTAGTCCAGCAATGCCACCCTCTAGACATCACATATGCCACCTCTTACGGAGAGCACAAGACTGACCTGGACTTTTCAAGACCCCTCTTTCCTGCATGAAGACTCCCCTTCCCTTTTTGCTCCTTTCTTTCTCTCTCGAACAGAGAGAAAGAATATCTGGGCTTGAAGATAAGCAGGAATACATCCATTCAGAGTAAGAAGGAGGTACAGAAGATGAGAACTTCATCAAATTTACCCTTGTAAGATTACAAGGTCTGGGGTTTTTCAGGGGAGAAATATGTTGGCCTAGGTAGGTAAATATTAATAAAGGAAGAGAGCAATGGAAATTAGACATTATTAAGCATAATCTACTACAGAGCATAAACCTGCTTAACCAGGAAGCTACAGCCTCACACACTCTAGGAGAGCATTGCCAAGTTAGGGGAATTAACAGCTCTCCCTCCCCAATATAGAAAGGAAAGACTGGCTTTTCAATCTCTCTGGTTAACTTGCCCAACTATGGAAGGGGATGATGGAGTAAGCACATGTGCAATAGGAGCAAAGATGACAACCATAAAGTCCTTTCTGTCTAGCCTGGGGAAAGGACCAGATTGAATAAGGAACCCAGGACCCTGGAAGATCTAAAAGAGAATTGTTAGGGGGCGGATTTAGAGCAAGCCCACAAAACACTGAGAAGTTAATTGGTTAGTTTAAAAGAGGGCCTAGACTTTCACAAGCCCAAGATGATATAACCAGCTTAACAAAGAAATTCTCTCTCTCACTTGGTAACATGTG